AGTGTGAGTTTTAATAAATTTAAATATTTATTTTTAATATTATAATTATTACATGTGGTTTACTTCCACATGCAATTGTGATATGACAACATGCGTGATGTCTGTATCCACATCTGCATAGTGCTTAGCACATGTCAAGTGTCCAGTTTGCTGACCACTTGTATACTTTTGATTTCAGAAAAAATGAGTTTTATTTTTTGAATCGTCTTCTATTTGAAGTGGAGATATAAAAAATTTTCCACATTTTAAAATGGATCAGAATATCAGAACGTGTTTATAATTCATTAGGACTTACCTGCTCTCGAATCATATTTTTGTAGTGAGTCACAATATTGTCATGCTGTTCTAATGTTTTCTTCACCTCTTCTTCTTTCTTATCTTCTTCACTGGACTTATAAATAGCCTTAGTTATAACACCTGTAAAAGAAAGTTTATTTAAAAATGTGTCTTAAGAAGGAAATAAAAATTTCAAAAACTAGTGTATACAAATCATGGCCTCATCTACCCAGAGACCAGAAGAACGAAATGGTATCCAGCCAAAATTCCCTACCATACTGATCAGGGTTAACAATAGATCGACCCTGGAAAAAATGGGAGGAAAAACACAGAATAGAATCCAAATTTGTAAAACATCAAGATTTTTGCTGAACCAACCAAGAGTAGAATACTCCCTGAAACAGAACTATTTTTGTCACCTGTTAATGAAATAACAATCTGGAATACAAAATAAAGGATACTGCCTTTGAGGATGGTGTTTCATTGAAAGAAAACTCAATATAAAGAAAGAAGTAAAAGAATTAAACAGAAGATTTCAAAGGGCAGTGTAAGAAGACAAAGTAATCTACTATAATGGAATATGCAGAGACCTAGAATTGGAGAAAAACAAGAGAAGAACTGGCTTAGTATTTCTGAAGCTGAAAGAAGTGAAATAAACTCAAGCCTTGAGTTGACAATACTTAGATATGCTAGGGGCAAAATCTTGAATGATACAGGAAGCATCAGAAGAAGACTGAATGAATACACATAATCACTATACCAAAAAGAATTAGCCAACTCAGAAATATTTCAGAAAGTACCATATGATCAAGAAAGAGCCAGTGATACTGTAGGAAGATACTGGCAAAAAATAAAGGCCAGGAATTATGGGATACCAACTGACATGTTTCAAATAACATGCATCTCTGGAGGTGCTCACTAGTCTATGCCAGAAAATTTGGAAGATAGCTTCCTAGTCAACTGGAAGAGATTCATATTGGTTCCCATTCACAAGAAAAGTGATTCAAATGAATGTGGAAACTACTGAACAGTATCACAAGCAAACAAAATTGTGCTGAAGATCATTCAAAAATTGCTAGAAGAGTACATAGACAAAAGAACTGCCAGACATTCAAGTTGGATTTAGTAGAGGTTGTGGCATCAGAGATAACACTGCTGATGTCAGATGGATCCTGAATAAAAGCAAAGAATGTTTATTTATGCTTTATTTACTATGCAAAGGCATTTGACTGTGTGAAGCATAACAAATTATGGCTAACACTGAGAGAATGGAAATCCCAGAGCACTTAATTGCACTCATGCGAAACCTGTATGTAGACCATGAACAAAACAACAAAGCAAGGAACACTAGAGGGTTTAAAATTAAGAAAAACGTGCATCAAGGTTGTATCTCTTTTCCATATCTATTTAAACCTGTTTGCTGAGCAAATTATTCAAGAAGCTGGTATCTCTTTTCTTTATCTATTTAAATCTGTTTGCTGAGCAGATTATTCAAGAAGTTTGACTCTTATAAAGTATGTGACATCAAGATTGGAGAAAGAAGACTCATCAATAATCTTCATTATGCAGATGACACATCCTTGCTTGCTGAAACTGAGGGGGAACTGAGGCACTTGTAGAAAACATGGACTTCATCTCAAGGTCAAGAAAAGAACATTCTCACTGATGGACTGATAGGTAACGTGGGGAAAAGACTGAAACTGTCAACAACTTCATTTTACTTGGATCTGCAATCAATACATTTAATATCAGCTGTTAAGAGATATGGAGATCTGGGAAAGTCTGCAGTAATGGACCTCTCCAAACTGAGAAGCAAAGATGTCAGTTTGAGGACCAAGGTGGGTCTGATTCATTTCATGGTCTTTCATATCACTTGCTATGCATCTGAGAGCTGGACAATAAATAAAGATCACGAAAGAATAATTGATGCCTTTGACCTGTGGTGTTTGAGAAGAGTACTGAATATCCATGGACCACCAAAAGAACAAACAGATGAGATATGGAGAAAATGCAGCCAGAGTTCTCCTTGGAGGCAAAGGTGATAAAGCTTTGCCCCATTACTTTGGACATGTTGTCAGGAAAAGCTATTCCTTGGAAAAGGATATTATGCTTAGAAAGATGGAGGGACAGCAAAAAAGAAGACCCTCAACTAGGTGGATTTTCACTACAGAAAAGGGCTTGAGTTTGATTGGCACAGTCACAGCAGCAGTGGGCTGTAGTTTGTCAGACACTGTGAGGATGGCACAGAAGGACAAGGTTCAGATGTGTCGTTCATTGTGTTGCCCTGAGTCATACTCAACTTGATGGTACCCAACAACATCATCATATGCAACCAAAAGGTTAACAATTTGTTCACATCTGTTATTCATAGGGTCACTATGAGTCATACTCGACCTAATGGAACCCAGCAATACCAACATAGGCAACAAAAAATTCTCTAAAGTAAAGATGAAAAGATAAGGACATAAAAAGTGGAGTGTGTGTACTCATTCCTTATCTATATGGTTAGGTTCCAAAAACCAAGTTGTTATATGACAATCTGTGATACACAAAAAAGGAGAATGACTATGTGACTAGGACAATGACTTTTATAACATGGAATATAACGCCATCATTACACAACAGCTAACTTACATCACTACATAACTACAAATTACAATACTGTATAAGTGTCAATTCACTGAGAATCATGACTCAGCCAAGGTGGAACTCACTTAACCTTAATCATCACAGCCAAAATTGGTGTCATTCTTGTCTAGCACCTTGGCATTTGCCAGACACAAAATGTTAATGCAAATAAATAGCTGGACGTTAGTTTTACTATTGTTGTAAATGGGATAATTGGTACTAAGTATGCAGTAGGTATACTAGAAATGGAACAATCAGAAAGGAATGAAAGAGAATGTGGATGTGTTGTGGAAAATATAGTGTCAGTGCACAGACTGTGAAAAAGACTGTCAAATGGAAACTAAACTGAGGTGAAACATTCACTGAAAACAAGATTTTTTAAATTCTGCCTTAAATATTTTAAATACTGTTTGATTATTAGGACTTAAAAACATGCATTAAGTCCCTGACAGGTAAGAAATAATCTTTCCAATCTTACTGTAAGGTCCTACACTGGAATACAGATGAAAACACAAGGGAAAACAAAACATCTATCTATCTATCTATCTATCTATCTATCTATCTATCTATCTATCTATCTATCTATCTATTTAATTTCCATGAACATCTACAGAGACTTTGGAATTCCACTCATTCATTATACTTTTCTCCCCGCCTACCCCACCCCCACCCCCACGTTCGCTCCTCTCCTTGAAAAGCAAAAGAAAAACTCTTTCATGGGTACACAATCCCCCACGCACACACCCCACCCCCACCCCAAATATAATCCACTCTACAACCCTCATTGCATACTCCTACGATAAAAATAATGCCCTAAAATATAATACTTTTAGACTATTCTCTCCCCCATAGATTTCAATGCTGTAAACATATTTCATCCAGTTTTTCTCAGTCTTACCCCCACCCCAATGCCAGCCTCATTCTACAACAGTGGCACCATATAGCATTTGTCCCTTTGTGACTGAGATACCTCACTCAGCATAATGTCCTCCAGGTTCACCCATTTTGAATAATATTGCATGAGTTCCTTGTTTTTCAATGCAGCATAGTATTCCATTGTGCGAATATACCACAGCTTCTCTACCCATTCGTTTGTTGATGGGCACTTAGGTTGTTTCCAACTCCTTGCTCTTGTGAACAAAGCCACAATAAACATGAGTATGCATATATCTACTTGGATGTCGTTTATGGTCTCTTTAGGGTATATTCCCAGTAGTGGAATTGCTGGGTCAAATGGTATCTCTATTTACAACTTTTTGAGAAGGCGCCACACCGTTTTCCACAGTGGTTGCACCATTTTACACTCCCACCAACAGTGAATAAGGGTTCCAGTCTCTCCACAACCTCGCCAGCATTTGTTGCTTGCTGTTCTGTTAGATTTTGCTAGTCTTACTGGGGTGAGATGGTATCTTATAGTTGTCTTGATTTGCATCTCTCTCAGAGCTAGGGATTTTGAACATTTCTTCATGTGCTTCTTGGCCAAGTGAATGTCTTCTTTGGTGAAGTGTCTGTTCATATCCTGTGCCCATTTTTTAAATGGGATTATTTACCTTTATCTTGTGGTGCTCAAGATATAAGCCCCTTATCTGACATGTCATTACCAAACACTTTTCCCCAGTCTGTGGCTTCCCTTTTTACCCTGTTGGAGAAGTTTCTGGATGTGCATAGGGATTTGATTCTTAGAAGGTCCCATTCATCTATTTTATCTTGTCCTGGTTGTAAGTTTTTCAGAATACTTGGAAGACTCTTGTGGATTAGGACTACTAAAGTTCTTCCAAGCTTTTCTTGAATGAAGTTTATAGTCCTTGGTTTTAGTCCTAGGTCCATGATCCACTTTGAGTTGGTTTTTGTGTATGGAGTGAGTTGGGGATCTTGTTTAATTCTTCTGCAGATAATTTTCCAATTTTGCCTATACCATTTGTTAAAAAGGCTGTCATTTCCCCACGTAACAGATTTTATCTCCTTGTCAAAAACCAGTTGACCATAAACAGATGGGCTGATTTCTGGGTTTTCAATTCTATTCCATTGATCTATGTGTCTGTCATTGTACCAGTACCATGCTGTCTTAACTACCATGGCAGTGTAGTAGGATTTTAAATCAGGGAGTAAGATGCCTCCTACCTTTTTTCTATTTTTAAGGAGTGATTTGCTTATTCAGGGCTTCTTTCCATTGCAAATGAAGCTGGAGATTGCCTTTTCCATCTCATTGAAGAATGGAATTGGTATTTGTATTGGGATTGCATTGAACGTGTAAATTGCCTTTGGCAGTACTGCCATTTTCACAATATTGAGTCTTCCTATCCATGAGCAAGGGATATTCTTCCACTTCTCCAGGTCTCTTTTTGTTTCTTGTAGTAATGTTTTGTAATTTTCTTTGAATATATCTTTCGTGCTTCTAGTTATATTTACTCCCAAATATTTTATCTTGTGATTAGCTATTGTGAAGGGTATTGTTTTTCTTAGCTCCAGCTCTGTATTCTCTTTGTCACCGCAGAGAAATCCAACTGATTTTTGTATGCTGATCTTGTATCCCGCTACTTTGCTGAATTGGTCAACTATCCAATCGTTTTCTAGCTGAGTCTTTAGGGTTTTCAAAGTATACTATCATGTCATCTGCATAGAGGGATTATTTTACCTCCTCTTTGCCAATCTGTATACCTCTTATGTCTTTCTTTTGTCTTATTACTATTGCTAAGACTTCCAATACAATATTGAGTAAGAGAGGAGATAATGGGCATCCTTGTCTAGTTCCTGGGAAAACAAAACATCTATTTTTAAAGCCTATTATAAAGGTAGTGTGTATTCAGAAAATAGGAATATGATCCATAGGTACTTTCTAAAGAATATAAGTACAAAGCTCCTAGACTTACCTTCAAGTTCTTTTACCAGCTTCGTAAACTCATGATCAAATATCATGTATTCTGGACTGGGAAAATTTGGCTGGGGTTTCTGAGAGGCTCTGGAATATAACTCATGTTTGCTAATAAATCCTAATTTCTCTATGAAATTCTCCTTTCCAATCCTCTTCTCTATAAGTTGTTTTAGTTTCTCTCTACAAAGATAATAAGCACATGGAGATGTTTAAAAAACAAACAAACAAAAACCCCCCCACAAAACCCAAAACACCAGCAGCTATAACAAAAAAGAATCTTCATCTATATTATACTTTAGCAGAAAAAAAAGTGCTGTCTCTTGCTACCATCAACAAGTCATTTTTCACTCACATATTGCCCTTACTTACTTCATGTAGTTTTCAAGTGAGTTATCATTGAAGTAAATGGAAATGCCCAACAAAAGGGCACATAAGCCTTGGACTAATTGTTCTTCCTCTCCAAGATTTTCTGCAATTTGTCCTGTAAGCTAAACTCTTAGTTAAGGAAGAAAATTATTCATAATATAGAAAGAATACTCTGTAATTTAATATGTGTATTTTACATTTATATACAGTTCATTTCATAATAAAAAATATCCAATGAGAAGTATGTGAACACAGAGACTCATTAAAAACATTTACAGTTTAAAAACTGCAACATAGGTAAGATAGTGGCTAACTAAAACACTTTAGGCATTGTACTAGCTCTAACTGAGAGGAAAAATTTAAAAGGTAAATGATAAATACTTTCTTGTATCTTAGTAAAATAAAAGGATACAAATGGAACGTTGGCTGAATTGTGAAGGAAATGAGTTACTGCAATTGGGCAGTTGCTTAACCAGGTACAAAGTAACATTAGTAATCCAACTCTTGTTTGTATTTTGCTTCCCTGCAATCAATAAATTGATGAAAATTTCTTTCCATTCATTTCAAACTTAAGGCTGTACTAAAATCTCTCCTTATTATAAAAAAGCCTTTACACACATTATGCAAGTATGTGAGGAATAGAGGTTTTAAAAAATTGAACCACACAGTAAATTCCTGTATCCTTCATAGGCTGAATGCCAAACAAACAAACAAACAACCCCCCCCAAAAAAACCAATCAAACAAAAAAAAAACCACCACAGAGCAGAAATTAGAAATGACTCATGATCATAAACACTGAATATTCAAAAAATTCAAACTCATTGCTGTTGAGTTAGAACTCACAGCTGACCCTCCACTGGGTTTTTCGAGGCTGTCAATGACACAAAAGGAGAATGAGCATCTTTATCCCTTAGAGGGGCTTCTAGATAAGTTATTTTAAATGCTATTAGAAAAATCTGGTCTACTAATAGAAAAAAAAATCCCATTCACACAATGGAATACTACGCAATACACACGAGCAATGATTATGTAAATCACTACCTAACTTAGGAGGAACTGGAGAGTATTATGCTAAGTGAACTAACTCAGTCCCATAAGGACAAATGCTGTATAAGACCTTTATTTTAGAAGGTGTCTGATGATCCAAGGGAAGGGTGGTGGGAGCATAGGAGTAAGAATACACATGGGGTGAGGTGTAAATCATAGGGTCAACAATTTGGTGGTGGGAGGAATGAGG